TAATTGACATTAATTTTGAAGAAGAATTTGTAGGATTTACTGAAGGTTACCCAGTGCCCATAATTCAGGTACATACTCACTTGGTACTTTTAATATGGGTTTGGAATCATCTGCTTACCTTCATTGGGATGCTTGATCATCCTGTCCTCATAGTGTGATTACATGATCAACCACATTAGCCACAATGTGAGTACATGCTCACCCACGTCCCTTTATTTGGTTACATGATCCATATGTTAACATAATTTGGATACATATTCACCCTAAACCATGATTTGTGTCCATGCCCAACTGCTGGGTACAGTGCATGATAATCTTGTAGCCTTGACCCATTAACTCCCAGATGTGATATGCATGTTACTTCCCGTTGTAATATCCATACATTATCCAGCAAACATGTTAAGAGAAATTACTCAAACAAATCACCTAACAGGATTTGCAAGGTAGTAGGAAACCTGATTTTGCCAGCATTGAAGTAGGAGTTCGTGACGATAGCGATACGGATCGAGTTAACGCCTTGGCTTAAACAATCCACCAAGCTAGGAAAATTTAGGGTACTAAAAGAATCGCACTCTCAGTCCGTATTCTGATTCTTACACGGAACTTTAAGTGCTTTTGCTTTCAAAACGAGGAAGGCAATCTTTTAGCTCTATAACTTGAATCGAATTATGATTTAGAGACTCAACTACATTCTTTAGGTAAAGTTCTAACAACGTAAATGATTATGTCCTGGTTAAACTGAGGATGAATGATCCTCGCTACTGGTCTGATCTGCTACCGAGTGGTTATCCATAGTGCCACAAGCTTATGACCTTGAAGCGTCTAAATTCCCCTATATTGCCGAACACAAGCTGGGGTTTATTAAACGACCGATCAGAAGCAAGGGTTCAAGTTTTGCCCAAATATGGAATTAGAGGTTCTAGAAGTGTTTCATTTCATAAAAACTCACAGCTGATTACAAAGAGGCTCAAAAAGAGCTCTAAAAGCTCAAAAAGCTATAATCTTTACATTTGGATGCACTGGATAAGTTATGGTAATTGATTTCCCTTAAGGGAATCTGTGATAGCATTTTCTGAAAAAATTTTGAGTTTAACTCCGCACTTAAATGCAGCGACCGGTGATAGCGCGGCGGATGCGAATAAATCAACAGAATTGTTTTGACGGTGTTAAATCCCTGATGGAAGGGACTTCTACAAGTAAACTTAACTACAGTGAAAATAAGCTTCTGAGTTTTTATCGAGATGAAAGGACATTTCAACAGTTCAATCATTGTGCTTTCAAGACAGCAAGAAGGTGAAAAACCTAGCATGCAGAAACAAGGCGCGCTTACCAGGTAATCGTGTTCTTCCAGAAAACTATGCGTAGTAGATTCAGTGCGCTTGAATCGTTGTTTACTAGAACTCACGGCCAGAAAATTCCGTAGATTTGTGTTAAATTTCGTAAATTATGAAATTGTACGGTTTAAAATTTAAACATTCAGTTCAAAAATACTTTTGGGAAATAACACTTAAAAATAATATTAACCGTTCGAAAAACGAAGCGAAAAACTTACAATTTTTTTGTATTTACGCGCCGCGTATGGTAGATTCACCCTGCTTGAATTGTTGCTCACTAGAATCTATGACCAGAAAATTACCGGGGTTTTAAGGCCTATAAATATTTAGGGCGTCTCACGAAATTGAATTATTTTTTCTCTACAACGCAAGCAGTTGAAACTGAATTTCCCCGTGAGGTAGATTCATCCAGGTGAGGTAGTTCGCATCCATTTATAAATAAAAGTTTGGTGGGTTCTCTGTACTATGGTCGAGTTTCCGGTTTGAAGACTGCAATTTCATAATGTATTCCAGTGCTTTCATTAAGATTTGAAGTAGGTGGTTACCTCGGTACAGCACCCGCCGGAGAGCAATACGAGAAGCCCACAACAATTTCCCTCTAGAGAGGTTTACAAATTGTGATCATTGTAAAGGCTGTTTTACCTTTTTCGAAGAAAATAATACGTAAGCCACAGAGAAATTGTCATTGTGTTGTCATTGAAACACATGAGGCCATGACAGAGTTTATTTTCCGTTAAATTCGGCATTCAAAACGTTAAGTAATAGAAATTCACTAGTAAGAATTACAGTGTTAAGACAGACAACGAAATTATGTCATGTTACATGTAGTTTGTGAAACTTCTACACAAAGACTTGATGAAAAGGGTCACGTAAAATCCTGCTAACTTTTAACGTAGACAGTTAGTAAAATGAAACATCTTTGCATTTAACTCTGCATGCAAAAATATTTCTGCTCTAGAGTAACTCTGTGTGTAAATAAAGGCCCCAGAAAACAGTTTTAGTGGACTTCTTTTGAAAAACTGGGCAATAAACCATTTCTAGCTTAAATCCTTTTCGGTTTACAGAAGATGCTATTAACCAAGTGTCAACTTTACTTTGTAATACTCGACGTCACCCATCAGTTATAATCACCAGTTCTCTTGAGTTCTGTGTACTGATCAGTCATACTTGAAGTCCGAATCTCCACTCTCTGAATCACTGTCCTCGGGAAGTTTCAAGACTCTAACTGCCGCAGCTACTTACAAGTCCACGTTATGAAGTTCCTTGGTTTCATCTTGGGTTGTATCGGCAGTATCGTTCTCCCCAATATCAGCTTGGACAGCAAAATCCACCCTCTTGACGGCAATCCCTTCCTTCCCTCTGACAATCTTCCTACGTGGTTGAGCTAACCATTCCTTGACAGTTTCTGCAATGAGGTTGTCACACTGACTGCATGCAGTTCAGGCCCATTGATACTCACGTGCATTAGGGAAGCGAGCATGTCGTTGTTTAGGGTACTTCTCAATCGTGACTTCAACCCCTTGACCGCGGACGCCCCTCTTTCAGGCCATGATTTCTGCTATTTCAAGAAGACGGGGGAAAAGGGCTGATAAGAGTGCCGTATTGATAACAAATGCTGGAGTAGCCATTTAGTTGGGGTGGAGCAAGTTCTTCCTTTGCTACCCAGTAGAGACTGAGGAAGGCATTGTAATAAACAGCTTCTCTGACTTTTTCCCTGTAGTTGACCTGATGCTGAATCACCGATACTCTGCTCAGAAGCTCAGCCTCCACGGCTGCTAAACGCTGTTGGTGGCTTGCATGTCCTTCTTATATCTTATGGAGGGCCTGTGTTGAATTTCTTACTTTTGTTTTGTGGATTGATAGTGTCATGTTTTCGGCATATAATGCAGAACATTCCTTTTCCGTCTTGAAAGAGGAGCCAGTGATAGCTGGTTTTTTCACAGTAGGAAAGGGTTGTATCCGAGATCCACTGATGTTGGAAACGATCTCTCCCTTTCATTCGCTGTTGATCTTCTTTACTCACGGTAACGCATTTGCCTGCTTGGCAGCTGTAAAAGCTGTAGACTTTAGCATTAGTAGGGAAGGATTTAATTAAAAACTTTTTAATCTCATCTGCCGGAACTGGATTTGCTTTGGTTGGTCCTCTATTACCTGCATCAGCTGCCGTCTCATTCACACCCCAAAGCCGTTTTATTACCTGGCCCACGTAACGAAGACTTTGTAGCTGTACTTCCAGTCTCCGTAGTGAGTTCGCACATGGTTTGTTCGTCAGTTGAATTTCAGGATTTGTTGTAGAATTTGATCATTAAATCAATATATTCCCTCAAAAGAAACAAACAGTATTTCCTGTACCTGTTTTGGTTGTTACTTGAGTCTTCTTAGAGCTTCCAATGGCTTCGATGCCGCTAATCGCATTTCCAGTATCTAGCACAACACGATGACAAAACGATGAAAAATTGGAATTATAAATATTTTGATGAAATTATTTGAATTAATGAAAGATATTTCATATTCAAACCTGTTTCCTGTACCACACGAAATTTCTTGACAATGCCGCACTCAAAAAGCCCGGTTTGGCGCACACGCTTCCCCGAAAAGTTCTCCGCCATGTCTACGAGCTTGATGAAGTTAAGTTAAGCAAAAGCAAGCGACACAAAGAGAAGTACATGGCTTGGGTTACATCCAACTGCAAAAAACCCGTTAGCAAATGAATGAATCAAACAGACAGATAACCGAAATTGTAACATTTTTCTTGCTATCCCAACGAAAAAAAAACCATCCAAATAAGGTGAATGGTCCAATAATACATTAATTACTATTTTCTGTTTTCTTTTTTAGTTTGAATTCGACTTGAACGCTGTGAAATATACCCAGCGCCTTTTAAAACATTGGTCGCAACAGAAGTGACCGAGCCAACATGGCTTGTGATATTTTTGTTTTGCACCCCATCATTAATTTTTCTTCTATAATTGTTTATCAATTTATAATTCTCTATCGATCAGTTTGGCTTTGATTGCTTGAGGGTTCACTCTTACCCAAAAACGTATGTTTTCCTTAGAATGTAACGCCTTGTAACACTACAAAAAATATTGTTCATTGCTCAAAACTTATGCATGGATGAAATCAAAATATGATTTAAGCTTGAACGTTGTTGCATTATTTCGAGCTTCCCACAGATTCTCTTTTTTTTTTTTTTGTAGGCAGTAAAACTGCACAGAAAACCGACGTTTAAGGAAAAAAAAGGAAGGGCTCTGGTCGAAAGTGAAAAGAGAGTACTTTCCATTGAGAAATTGTGGACGAGTGTTAAAGTTGACAAGCAAACAACATTTTAGCGAGATCCACACCCAAATATGCTACGCAGACCTTTCTTTGGTTGTCATGCATTGTTTCTCTTTTTCCGTCATAGCTGGGGTAAAGATAGGTGGATTTAGAAGGATCGAACAAGACTGGTCCTGACTATTGTGGATTGGAATGGGTCAGCAAGGATTGGAGTGAATAGGAATTGATAGGATTTGATTAGAGCGGATTGGCAAGGATAAGAGTGGACTGAGGTGAGTCGGGATTCGGTGACTGGGGCAGCTGTTTTAGAATTCACCATTAATAACTGTCTGTACATAAAAAAGCAGTTTGGTTCCAAAGTTTTTTTTAATGATATCTCGTTATCATTTCAACGTCTTGTTACCATGGAAACACGTGTATGCCAAAGAGGAGGACAATTCTTCACGTCTCTCGTTATTCAGGGTTTTTGACTTATCTACTTGACTCTGAACAGTCTGTTCTCATCGATACTCTCTTCGTAGTGTAGATAGTTCTCAGGTCGTCGACATTCCTCTTCCCCCGGGAACAAATTTACTTCGGCATCGTGTGGTGTCACTAGGAGCTCCTCTAGTTCGCGTACGCTCATTTCTGTTTGATGAACATTCGACCTTTTGTCTTGATTGTTGCTCATCACTGCAAAGGATTCTGCTCTTTTCTCCTCACCTGGTACCTGCCATATACAGCAAACAGCTGTCCAAATAGAACGAGGAGTTACAAGTCTTATTGTACCTTGCACAAACGTATCCGTCAGAAAGGGCTTAGGAATTTGATTTGTGGAATCCTGAACAGCCTTCCCCTCTCTAATGAGTAAGCCATTTTCTGATCTGCCGGTCAAAAGGTAGAGGGTTCCATCTCTCTGGCCACAATTTTCCTTAGCATAGTCTTCAACTTTTTTCTCAAACTTCGTCAAATAGAAGTTCGACGCTGCAAACTGAGGTACTGCATTGGTAAAAGTATAGGTGGCGATCATGAATTTTTTGTCAAAGGAATTTATCGCTGAGGGATTCAAATGGCCTTTGGTCAATTGTTGGTTTGGACTTCGTCCTCTTAGACGTCGTCCGTTTTCTTCGATTGCTTCTCTGTAAGCAGTTTTGAGTTCAGGAACGCCTGTGAACACAGATGATATTGAACTATAAACAAAAAGATCCTGATAATGCAGTTTTAAAAAGACTGGTGACCAGTCTTTTAAAACTGTATCCCCACTCTTGTATAACCGTGGGATTATGTAGTCAATTTTGGTGTTCCGTTAGGCAAGAAATATCCTAGAGATCACCCACTGGTTTGCCCCACAGACCAGAAATAGGTGAGGTCGGCGCTCGGTGATGGACAGTTCTCATTTTCGCGCTGCATAGCATTTTCGTTATATCATTAGCGCTTGATTGCTTGGCTTGTCTTGCTGGAAAGGCACAGGATGTTTATGTGCTCTGCAAAGCTTAAAATGGTGGGGAAAGGAGTTACTGCGTGATACGGGATAAGTGTTTTTAAATATCAAGGCCAGTTAAAATACGAAATTGAAATCCCGTGAACTGTGAATTTTTTGCTTTTCGGAACTGGAACCCCTAAAGTTCTTATCCTATATTTCGTGATGCGTTATTTCCACTTTCAGGTTTTTCTGCTTTGTCGGTTGACAATTGCTTCTAATGCTAGAGAGCTAAAGCTATCCCATATGTGACGAACTATATTGTTTGTTATTTGTTGAAAAAAAAAAGCTAGAAATAGGGCATTAGTCTACAAAATACATTCTCACATCTACGCTCACGATAAGGTCCCCGTGCGACAACGTGCAGTTTGATCTTGATTAATCTGTGAAATTCCGAGGACATATGTGAGTTGGTTCAATAATAACGTACTGCTGTTCAATATTCAATATCAAGTCGATGTTCAATGACTATCTGCAACCTGGGGGTTTCTCCTATTCATTCCACCCAGCCTTTCTTCCTTCTTAAGGTCCCTTGCCTGAACAGGTTTTACTATGTGGACTAAATCATTCAGCTATTAATGTTTAATGACTCTTTCCAGACCTGGGGATTCTCTCCACTGTGTTCCACCCGGCCTTCTTTCATTACCAATGCCCGTTGACTGAGCAGGCGTAACTTTGTAAGCTGAATAAAACGGGGTATTGGTGGTTGAGTCAAAGAGAGAAACAAAATAAGGTGGAGTGCCTGGAGGATCATAAGGCAGCGTCTGCTGAATCTCGATCCCTTGAGAAGTACCAGGTAGCCCTGTTGGAGGACTACCACCAGCAAAAAATGGCCGTTGAACACTTTTCTTTTGAGGGGAAGTCGCAGATCCTTAAAAAAGTAGATATTGGAAGAATCAGACGAGGGAAAAAAGTCTTAAATAATCTGAAAAAATCGTATTTATTTAAGAAGCTGATGTAAGATTGATTTCAGTTAATATGACGGGTTAATGAAAATACTTTTATAAATGTGTTTCAGTGGAGTAAACGGCTGAACTTGCTACGTACTCAAGTTTCTGAACTCAATTTAACACCGCAGAGCAAAACATGTTAAGTCGGGTTTAACTGAATGAAAATCAGAAACAGGGAACTGAGAAACTGAATTCAGTTTCCCACAGGTTTCAAGTAGTCAAACATCGGTTTGAAGCAGACCAACATCGGTTTTAAGCATGCAGTTTTATGAAGAAAACAATTTAGACCATATTAACAAAAGAGCTTTAAAACCTGTTTAGGCTCTGATTTGAAAGGGGGCATTAGTTTGATAAGGGTTTGCCCCCAAGAATACAAATCTGAGGATTGGTTTCTTGACGTAGCGTATTTTATTGTGTTTAAAAATTCAAGGTAGATGCATGTATAGATAAAAAGTAAAGAAAAGAGTAGTTCTTATGATTTATAGGTAAGAATAAGTGCAACTATGCTGTCGAAATTTGATAATAATCCTAACGCATTCCTTGCATTACTCGACACTTACCAGATATATTTTTCGAAAATACAGTCTTAGACAGTACAAGGACAGAAAAAACAAAACACCAAACGGATGTTGTCTTCATTTTGTCTGGTCTCTCTGGCTATTTCTGAGCTAATAAACATAAATAAAGTGAATTACACAGAGTATATTGATTTGTGCTCTTCAAACCCATCAGGTATATCTGTTCACGTCTGATTGGCTGAAACAGGTCACGTTAGTTGTAGTACAGAGCATAGTACTATTCAACCACCATCAGGTGTTTCTGTTCACGCCCGATCGGCGAGAATCGGTCACGTACACTTTATTGCAAAGCATACTACTCTTCAAACCTATCAAGTATTTGTGTTTACGCCTGATTGACTAGAACAAGTCACGTTCATTGTAGTGCAGGGCATAGTACTCTTCAAACCCATGAGGTATTTCTGTTCACGCCTGATCGGCTACAATTTGTCACGTACACTGTATTACAGAGCATGACACTTTTCAAACCGATCAGGTATTTGATTGGCTATAGCAGGTCACGTTCATTGCAGTACAGAGTATTATACTGTCTAAATCTATCAGGTATTAAAATACTTTTAATACCTGATGGTGTTATAATTTAAAACTTTGCCTAAACAGTTATCAATAAGAAGTGTATGTACTATATATTAAAGTTCACACGGCAACCAGGTGGACAATCAGACATGGTTTGATGCTACTCTGGCTTACAGGATTAATGAATGTAACCAAAGAAGTTACAATTTATAGACCCAACGTTTCGACACTCCTGTCTAGTGCCTTCATCAGGGGTGATCTAAACGCTGCAACAAGAGGTCCTTTTAAATGATCACTAATTAGCGGCCTTTTTTCTGACGAGGTGTAAATAGGCGTCAGGAAGCAAACCGCCATCGTCACGATTTAAAGGAGCGTGGACGGAGTTAATATGCCAAGCCTCCAAACAAAGGCGCTGGTGGTAACGAAATAGAGCATCAAAAAGCGGTTTTCTTTTGCAAAAAGAAAAATTCAGCTTTATCGGAGCACACATGCCTAACTAACCATACAATTGGGTGGGATAATTCTAAAATTATTACCACTAATCGACGTTACCACCAGCGCCTTTGTTTGGAGGGCAGCTCTAGCTTCTTGAGTGCTATCCAGACTTCCCAAGTGCATCCACAACTCGATATACGCATGTAAGTATTCATGCTTTAACACAGCTAAAGCATGAAACAATTATTTTATAACAATGCATGCAGAAACAAGTTGAGATCGAATAAAGAAAAAAAGAGTTTATTACAACTCTGTCGGGTTTACCAGCTAGTCGCGTTCTATCAGAAAACTATGCGTAATAGATTCAACGTGCTTGAATCGTTGTTTACAGGAATTCACGACCGGAAAAATGCGTAGATTTGTGTTGAAAATTTTGGGAAGTCTGAAGTTGTACGGTTTTAAAATTATAAAATTGTGTTGAAGGATACTTGTGCGAAATAATGCGAGAAAATAATGTCAATCGTTCGAAAAACGAAGCGAAAAACTTGAAAATTTCTTGCATTTACGAGCCCCCTTTTGTAGATTTACCCTGCTTGAATTGTTGCTTACTAAAACATAAGACCATACATACAGAAAATTGTGTAGGTTTTAAGGCTTTTAAATATTAAGGCCTCCTCACGAAACTGAATTTTTTTTCTCCACCACGCGAGCAGTTGAAACTGAATTTCTCTATTAGGTAGATCAGGAGGAAACCATAATCTAAAGGAGAAGAATATGACAGCTGACCCCTGACAACCCTAAGCACTCGTTTATTATTATTATTATTATTATTATTATGATTATTATTATTATCATTATTATTATTATTATTAACTGTTTTTTGTGTGTTTTTTGGTCATTTGATCGTTTTGTTTTGGTCGTTTAGGTGGTTTCGCTTATTCCGCTTGTATCACTTGTTTCGTTTCGGTTGTTTCGTGTTGGTTTTAGCACTCGTCGTGTTATGAATGCACGGCCGTGTGGAACATAAGGATTTTTACCTTGGTAGCTCCTTAGAATTAAGGAAGACTTTGCGCGCACGCGACGATAATTTGGCTATTTTCAAGTGGTGAGGAGTGACAATAAACTTGGCCGTAAATTGAATTCGCAAAGCGTGCAAAGCGCTCTAAATATTTACTTCACAATTTGCATCCTTTTATAAATATAAGTTTGGTGGATTCTCTATACTATGGTCGAGTTTGCGGTCTGAAAACTGCAATTTCCTAATGTAATACCGATAATTGCCGCACAAAAGTTTCGCTTATTACACATTCAGTAAACATTAAAGATAAACTCTCTAATAAATCTCAGCTCTCAGACAAAGATAATCGCTTCACGGCTAGAAGCTTCTGACATGCCTAGCTAGAAATTTCCTTCGCAATGAAAGCCGTTTCATGGCGACAATCTTAAATGTTCCGTGTTCCGTCCTGTAATCTACTGAAGGCTAAAATACCATACCGACGTGCAAAGAATTAGAGGACATGTTTATTTGACACCTTCGGCCTCAGATATGATTATTCGAAGACCTGAAATTTAGAAGAATTATTTACGATAGCCCAAGAATTTATTATGAAAGTGGTATCTAATTCTATATTCAGGCTACATTTCCGAAGCCGAACGCAGTTGGGTGTCTTTCTCAGAAGTAGTACATTGACCCAGGGAAATTTGTTTCCAGAATGAATTTCCAGAAATTATTGTTAGTTTCACTTCTTGCAGCTATATTTTTCTAATTAGATAATTGGTTTTCATCAACTTTGTTTATCGTGTGAATTCACCATCATAAAGAGATTCTAAAGCTAGCAAAAAGCCTTCGTTTTCGGAGCGCCAGCTTCAAAATGTCTATACGGTGTCCTATTTACGTCATCAACTCAGGTTACAAAAAGCAAATTGTTTTGTAATACCCTCCAATTAAACAGTGCCCTAATTTCTTATTCGATTTGTTCAAATTAGATTTTGATTCTAGAGTAGATTTATTGAAGCAAATATGGGTAATACTGTATAATTTAGGTCCCTCTACCCTAATTGAAATGGTAAATAGAATCTCTTTTGAAAAGAATGCAAATTAAATTTTATAGAAAAAGTTTAACATCACAACCCATATTTAACTTGAATTTGTCCAGATCATACTGAAAAGTGTTTGTATAAATTCGTGTCAATGAAAGTCGCGGTCTCTTACCAGGTTTTAGAATTAGCGGCTATTTCTCAAGTCCAGATTTGTTGAGAACTGAAGCTCAGAATTACGAGAATGAAGGAAAATTCGTTCTTGACTGTTGAAAAATTAGCTTTTACAATTAGTAGCAGGTTAAACCAGCATAGGTTAAAAGGTTTTTCTGTGAAACTAAGAAAAGCGTGAACACTTTGATCGATTCTGATTGGTCAATTGCGTACAAACCAATCTCAAGAACGCGCGAGGCACCTTGATGGCTTTATTCAAATACAACATTATTCTACTATTCACGGTTTTCAAGTTCAACATTAACGAAAGTTCATCGAAGGAAATCAGCCAGTCGAGAATAAGAAAGTTGATTTCTTTTTGAAAACATTTCTTGTTAAAACTGAATAATGTAATCGTGGTTGAACCTCTGAGAAATTTTGAACCATTGCCGTAATCTGAAACAAGATCTGTTAGCGTAGCATGTTGAGCCATGAATAATTAAAATCGGGTGTCAGATTAGATTGCGTTCTCTACATAAGAAATGACTCGAGTCCTCAAAGCAACTTTCAGAGAAATTCAAAAGGACATTTTGAGCTAAATGTGAATAATCACGGCAATTTTTTGCGTCAGACTTATTTGAATATTTACTTCGTATCATTTAAATTTTGTGGAAAATATGAACGCATTTCCTTACGAGAAATGATCCATCTCATAGCATCAAGAAAGGAGGAAAGCATTTCTATTTAAAAAAACAAAGAAAAAAATAGAATAAGAAAGATGGCAAGTTTTAAGCTCGGTAAAGAAATAGAGAAAAAAGTTTTTTCGTCATGTCACGAGCGTGGGACAAAGGAAAAATTCTGAGTCTCTTTGAGGAATCGCACGTCAGACCTGCGGATTCCGCGCTTTGATGCTCTAACACTGAACCACAGAGATTCCATGGTAAGGAAGGCCCATTACGAAGGATGCATTATGCAGGACGCGTGTCATATAAGAACTTCGTAGTAGGCCTTGCTTACTGTAGAGTCTCTGTGGTATAGCATCGGAGCGGGGAATCCGAAGGTCTGAGGTTCGATTCCTCCTCCTTTTTTTGTCTTGTCACGCTCGTGACAAGACAAAAAAAATATCTTTTTCAAAGAAAAAAAATAGATCTCTGTTCGATTTCCAACCCCTCAAGAGAGCAACAAATACGTCTATAAAATAACATACTCCGAAATGCTTTCCTGGTAACAAGTTTGTCTTTATATGATACTGAGCCATCGCACTTATGACAAGGATTCAGTTGTTGTGGTAGTCGAGTAGCATACACAGCCGGAGGTTTTGTGGGAATATTCAACAGATAAGTTTGGAGAAATATCACAGGAAGGAAAAATTGTTTCAAAAGGTGTTCACCTCATAAACTTCCGAATCTAGCGTGCGTTTTGTCCTCTTGAAGTCGCGTCGCTTGTATTTACGGCTCCATCGTCCACTTAAGAACCGCTTGTGGCTTAGGCTATCAGCCAATAACGTTTCGAGTTGCAATTTATTTCTACCTCCTCCACTTTTCATTAATTATATTGGTTTTATAAGTCTGCCTGTTTAACCGAAGTTTTCTTTCGTTTCTTTAGTTATCTAACTGAACAGCCTCAGCCTAATCAACTCCAAAAAGGTGTTTGTTATTGACCTATGGGATCCAAACACCAATAGCAAGTCCTGGCATGTGGGCGAGAAGTTCGACCTATCGACCCTCTTAATACCCATTTTTGCTTAGAAGACGACCAGCAACGAATCACTGAGTGCAAAGAATTTACATTAGGAGACTTTCGTGAGAGGTAGGTGAAATTACATCTGCATTGCGATGTGAGGGTGTATTATAAACGATGATTTATTTTTGGAGTACACGGTAATTTATTGTAAAAGACAAAAGGTAAATTTCTTGTATTAATTAATTAGTTGGGCCTGAGTT